TCATCACCAATTAGAAAGAAGGCAGCCCAGTACATTGGCTCCTTGTATTCATCTGTTTCTCTCACATCCTTCATGGCTTGTTTTAGACTCCTACTGGCACTTTCTCCTTTCTTCAGATGTGAATAGAATTTGACCATAAATAATTTAGTTGCTTGGTCATCAATGGCCCACAAGGACGCTATAACGGCACGGGCTCTTGCAGCAAGAAAAGCTCGAGTCATTCCAACTACACCTTCTGCTTTGATATCGCCCCGACCACTATGGCAACAGCTCAGAACAACAAGTTGAGCACGAATTCCACTTTCTTGTGCTTCCTTCACTGTCAAGATGTAGTCCTTTTCTTCTGGGGTAGTTGTGCTCGATAGTGAAGGTTTAGAAGGGGCCAGGAAAATCTCTCCATTTCTCGCACTGCCATGAGCAGCAAAGTGAATAACACACACACCTTGTTGTAGCTTGCTTAAAACTGCTTCTTTTGTTGCCTTCTCTCCTATCAGTGGTTCTACTCCGAGTAGTTTTCCGATCTCTATGGCTTCATCTCTTGCACCAGACAAAGGGTAAATCTCTCTCTCTATCCCTCTATAGATGACTTCACCGACGGCAGGATCTCCAATGAGATCAGTGCACCCAACTAAAGGGTGAGATGTAATTAATGCCATGGTTAAAATAACGTTCGTTAGGGAAATTTCGTCGTGGATCGAGAGTAAATATAGCGTCAAAACTTATATAAGTTAAACTTATCCACAAACAAAAGCGTCTTAATTTATGAATTAGCACTTTATAGTGTTCATAGAAAAGGATATTAGAGCAACAAAAGTACTATTCCACGATTTGCAATAATCGTGCTAAAGCCAAGATTTTTCTCCAGGAGTATTAGTATTTACCAAAATGTTTTGGACAAGACATGTTGTGGCATTAAATGTCTTACCTTGTAGTGAGGATCACCTGAAGATTCTTGTAGAATTTTCAAAGTCGTCAGAGAAGGAGCCAAGCGAAGGCGTTTGGTTTCACATAGAAAGTTGCCCGTCTCTGGATCCCGTAGAGCAGCGAATGGCACCGTAAACAAAGGGCCATCCGGAATAATGACAATTTCCTCTGTGGTAAGCTTGTCCAGCACTGGGGCAACAAATCGATGAAACAGCATTTCCAATGGCTTGTCATCGTCTTCTTCCATGTAGACACATCTTAGAAATTCTCGGCAAACATTGGATGAAGTCTCAATGGGTTTTGAAGCGGTAGCTTTATGGGACGCAGAGTAAAGGTCTTCACTCTGTAGTGACTCCAACGATCGGTCCTCACATTTCATTTTTCATTTCTCTAACATTCATATGGAGAAAGCTGTATTCAACAAGATGTTTCAAATACAAATTTTCAATGTTCGTTTCCTCATCTTGAGAGAGATTGGATATGATTTTTTCCAAAGCTTCAAGTTCTGCTATTTCATCATAAACGAAGATCGAAGATCGAGAAGATATAACCCAGAATCGGGTGGTCAATTCGTTATAGCGAAGATCATAGAAAATAATGCAGGAATTAACACTGGACGAAACTTTCTTGACATCATCTAGCTCCAACGCTTTTTTATTTGAAGGGATTTTTYCGGTCGTGTTGTATTTCAAGCTTAAGAGATCTCTTAATGCACRGCCTCGTCCTCTCTCACATACCAGCAGGATTTTTCTATCTGTTTAGTCTCGAGTTGAAGCCTGGTAAGCAGCTTGTAGCTATTTACATAGGTATCAACAAAAGATATCTTTAATTGGTCTTTTTCTTTCAAGTCATCAAACATCTTTTCATAGCAATCAATGCTGTTTYGGAGATGTTCTTCAGCTTTGTCGAGGTTTTTAATGCTTGATTCTTTCATGTAGAAAACTCCTATGGGTAGGCACAAGTACATGCATGTCTGTTAAATCAATTACGAATGAAACGGGATTTCCAAAAGCATAGAACGGTCARTGGAAAACATTTGATTAATGATATTTTGATATCTGAGCAGTTATTGAACAAGGTTCTTTAAGTATCTTGCACTTGCATAGTAACACCAACGTTTTTTTCACGTCGCTTTGTTGCGATTGTATTGAATTTTATCAGATTCATCGAAAATGTCGCAAAATACCCGTTTTAGGTATAAAATACCAATTTTTTCCCCAACTCTATTCAAACAATTTTGCTTAGAAATGTAACAGTTTTTCTCATTCTTTGAATTTTGAACTCATTTACATATATCCAGTCAATTTTATTTGAGCTGTAGGTTGGGAACCTCACTCTATTTATAGTGCATAAGTTAGATACTAGACAACGTACAGGTTTAGTATCTTTACCAATATTAAAATGAGTTGATGATTCATACTTTTGCCTTCCTAATTCTTTGGCAACGGCAAGGCTCTTTTCATGATACTCAATAGCCTTGTGATATTCTTTTAAAAAAGCCTAGGAATTTCCTAAGCTACCATAGCAAGCTCCTTCTAAAGCTCTGTCACCAATCTCTTTTGCAATGCTTAGGCTCTTTTCGTGATATTCAATTGACTTGTGATATTCTCCTAATGAAAAATAGGCATTTCCTACTCTTCCGTAACTTGGCCCTTCTCCTGCTCTGTCACCAATCTCTTTTGCAATACTAAGGCTTTTTTCATGATATTCAATCGCCTTGTGATAGTCTCCTATTAAAAAATAGTTTTCTCCAAAATTTAACAACACCTTTCCTTCAACTTCTCTATCACCGATGTTTTGGGCAATGTTAAGGCTTTTTTCCAAATATTCAATTGCCTTGTAATATTCTCCTACTGATTGGTAGTCATTTCCTAAGTTTACGTAGCATCTTCCTTGTCCTGCTTTGTCACCAACCTCTTTCGCAATGTTGAGGCTCTTTTCATGATATTCAATAGCTTTGTGATATTCTCCTAATGAATCATAGGCATTTCCTACGCTTTCGTAATTGTTTCCTTCTCCTGCTTTCGCACCAACCTCTTTTTGCAATGCTAAGGCTTTTTTCATGATATTCAATAGCCTTGTGATATTCTCCTAATGAGTCATACGCAAGTCCTAAGTTTCCGTAACTGCTTCCTTGTCCTGCTCTGTCACCAATCTCTTTCGCAATGTTGAGGCTCTTTTCATGATATTCAATAGCCTTGTGATATTCTCTTAGTGAGTTATACACATTTCCTAAGTTGCCGTACAGATTTTCTTCAAACTCTCTTTCACCAATGTTTTTAGCAATACCAAGGCTCTTTTCGTAATATTCAGTGGCTTTGTTGTAATCCCTTAATTTGCAATAAGCATCTCCCAATATCCCGCAAACTATCATGACAAGCGTTATATCGGAAAAGTAATAATTTACCATCACTAAGCATTCTTCGAGTACACATATTTGTGAAATATTGTTCAGATCGCTCAGTAAATCCATGGCAACGCATAAAGCACAGAACCAAATAAAGAGCTTGACCTTCTGAATGCCCAACATCGCTGCTTAAATTACGATTAACTTAATGCTGCATTTCAGTCAGATATGAGAATTCTAGAAGAGAAAAATTGTGTGGTAAGTATTTTGTCTACTTTCCATCTTGGTTTAGAAAGTTAATTGAACAACAATATCCTGGGTTGATTGAGATGTATGGTCGACATAATGATCCACGCCACGTTAGTAATCTTATATGTCAAAGCGTTGGTTAATTTTGTGATCATGCGTTGCTAGTGCGTCATCAGTCTTGATTTTCAATCATTTTGTGCGCGAGCTCAATATGTAAAAACGTCGATATCTAAATAATTTGATGAAAAATGTAAGATGGCGACCAAAATGCAAGATTTCAGTGATTGCTTTAGAGGATGGTGAACTTTGGCAAGTCAATTGCTTGAAAGAAGCCAAAAGTATGAGTCGGACATAAAATAACCGATTTGGCATTTTCAGAAGTATTTAACTAGAAGTGCCCATCTCGATAGTAATCTTGACACCATCAAATGTCTCGATGATCTATTTTTAGACAATCAATCATAATGCGCACTCATATAACACGTCACCTATTCGTCCTTGTTGATACTACGTCAAGAGAAGTGAAGTTTGCATTAACAGAATTTTACAACTTTTGCAGAACAACCATAATTTCTAAATTGGATAGAAAACATACTTTTCTGTATAAACAATATAGCGAAAGTAGTTCAAGAGCAATATCAATGGTCTGGAAAAACAGGGGAAAGGTTCAGATAAAGATGAAGAAAGATGTAAAAGAAAGGTCGGTGCTAAGAGTGTATGCAAAAAATGCAAAAGAAGGCATTATGCCAACAGCATAATGATATTTTTGCATCGCCATATACATCTGTCCCCAGTAGGGCTAAGCACTGGTCGTGCTAACTGGCTTCTAGGTGGTCACGTGACAACAAATGACATATAAGGTCTTAATAGCCGATTTTCGTATTTCGCCTCAGTTGTCAAACAATGAAAGAAACAAGACGAGGCGCCGTGCCTAAAGCTCAGTAAATCGTGAAAAACTATTGTGTTTTTACGAATGACTGAGCTTTATGCACGGCGCCTCGTCTTGATTCCTTTGTGTGCGACTACTGAGGCAAAATTCGCAAGTCAGCTATTTCGTAAACAATTTCGAAGTCCTCCTCCTTGGTACTTCGTGCGACAAGCAAGCTTATCTCAGAATTTTCCTACCATCTCCCATTACGCCGGCCTGTGCACTGTCTCTTCGGGACGGCGATTATTTTCTTCCCCACCATTTTAGTTAGTTATTTTCGTGTCAGGCCACGCCCTTGTTTATACGTTGTTAGGCGTGGCGTGACTCATACAAATAAATACGTCACAACAGTGGTCAAGTTAATCTAAAAAAAGTTTACATTTTTATGTCTCTTCGTAAACTAGTGCGACCCTATGCCAAGACCCTCGAAGCGAATATATGTATCTAGTCTTATACGAATATTGACGGGTTAACGATCATCAGTTATGAGTTGGATATTGTGAGGTAAAAAATGTGATTTTTGTTGCCCGATTTGTACTCATTTTGTGTAGAAATCTGTTCCAATAAAAGGGCCGTCATCATACATTCGGTAATACGTAAATGCATCAGACTAATTGAGACCTGTCTGCGTTGCTCCAGAGGTCGTTTAAATTTGATTACTAAACTCTATGAGAGGATTTTGAGACAATCCCGACTTTGTAGAAAACAACATTGCAAAGTGTGAGTGAAAGTTAAACATTGTATTGCATACCTTATCGAAAATTAGATCGCACAAAGCTCAAATTTCCCCACTAGCGCAAATATGGGTCAAATATGGCTGCACACATTTTTATTTTTAGAATCTTTAAAATCTTTTTTATGTGAAATCCTTGTCATAGTCGAAAAAGCTGTAAGTCACAACTGGTTGCCACCGAGAAATTAAGGGAAAAAGAACTCTCTCGGCAAGAAATATTTTCTAAGAATTTTTGCCAGGAAAATAAAAAATTCCTAACTAAAAAAATGTAAGCCGGCTTTTTGACCATAAAAAGGTTATATAAGCCTGTTTTGACCTTTTAAAAAACGTTTGGCAGGAACAATATTATTTTAAAGAAGGAAGGGCGCCACATTTGCTTGTGAGATTGTCAGGAAAAAAAATTCGTATAAGAACAGTTTGTACATTACGGAGCGCCTTACTGGCAGCACACGTTTATTTGGGCTCCCGCATTTTACAAATTTTCTTATTTATTTTGGGACTCCCAATATTTTTCGCTCTCTAGTTAGCTATCTAAGTCGATTAGGTATGGTTTTGGAATATGTGGTGACCGAGCATTTGCGGTAGTCGGACCTAGGGTCTGGAATAGTTTACCATTATACATACGCAAATCCTGCAGGGACTTGCAGACTTTTAAAGCTAACTTGAAAACATTCTTATTTAGTCAATCTTATTAATTTATTTTAGCATTTATCGTTTTAATTCAATGTAAATAGTTTTGATAAATATATATATTTTTTCAACTATTGTAAAGCGCATTAGAATATTTTAATAATTGCGCTATATAAATTAATAAATTATCATTATTATTATTATTAAATTATTACAGACCCCATAGTCTCCTCCTATCTATAGTCGATGCTCGAAGTATTTGATCCCTTGTTCTTCCAGATTGGGCATTGCCGATTACTAATTATTATATGTAATAGGACTCCATGCTGTCCAATTAAGAAATAATTGGACGAGGAAAATTCCGAGGACTGCCAAAAATTGGACGAGGCCGTGGCCGATTTTTATTAGTTACCTTCATTTTAACTTCACTTTAACTTTTATTTATATCAGTAACAAAAAAA